AGAAGTTTGGATGCTATTCTTAGTGTATTGGGAAACTATTGAATGGTTTGAAGTAATAGCCGGGCTATGATTCAGTGTATGTTTTAATAAGATCACTTTTCTTGTTCTGTAGATAAAAAAAGGGAAGAATCAAGGATAATATCTCAGTGACTGGCTTGAGCAACTGGATAAATGAGTGCCATTTTCTGAAACAGAAAAAAATTGAAAAAGATGTACAATTTTTTTGGAAAGCAAGATATCCACTTGGAACATGTTAAATGTGAGATGTCTATGAGACATTAAGTGGTGCTGACAAGTAGAAAACTGGATATGTGTGTATAAAGTTCATAAGGAAAGGTCTGGGTCACATATATAAATTTGGGTTTTGTCTTAGTCATCTAGTGCTGCTACAACAGAAATACCACAAGTGGATGGCTTTAACAAAGAGAAATTTATTTCTTCACAGTAAAGTCAGCTAAAAGTCCAAATTCAGGGTGTCAGCTCCAGGGGAAGGCTTTTTCTCTCTGTTGGTCTTCTTCTCATCAGTGTTCCCTCGGACTAGGAGCTTCTCCGTGCAGGGACCCCAGGTCCAAAGGACGTGCTCTGCTCCAGGCACTGCTTTCTTGGTAGTATGAGGTCCCCCTCTCTGCTCACTTCTCTCTTTTATAGCTCAAGAGATTGCCTCAGGACACAATCCAATCTTGTAGATTGAGTCCTGCCTTACTAACACAACTGCCACCCATCCTCCCTCATTAACATTATAGAGGCAGGATTTACAACATGTAGGAAAATCACACAATACCAGGAATCATGGTCCAGCCACATTGATACACACATTTTTGGGGGGACATAATTCAATCCATGACATTCTACCCTTTGGCCCCCCAAAAATCACATCCTTGCAACATGGAAAACATATTCACTCCATCATATCATAGCAAAAGTCTTAACTCCAAGTCCAAAATCCAAAAATTCCTCTTCATCTGTGAAATCTAGAATACACGTTATCTGCTTCCAAAGGTAGAACGGCAGAACAGGTACAAGCTAGACATTTCCATTACAAATGGGAGAAACTGGACGGAAAGAAGCGATAACGGGCACCAAGCAAGTCAGCAGAACACATTACATTAGCCCTCAAGGCTTTGAAAATAATTTTCTGTCCTCTGAGACAATTTACACAATGGCCCTGCCCTCCAGACTCTATGTATTGGCCACACTCTCCAGATTCTGAGTGGAGGGCCCTCGGCCCTAGGCTTCAGCTCCGCCTTCCAGGCCCACTGGGACAGCAAATCTGCTCCCTCGGCTTTAGGTGCACCATTCTCCCAGTCCATTGGAGTGGTGACTCCACCCTTAGAAACATCAGAGGCCATGGCTCCACCCTTAGAAACCCTGGAAGTCATGGCCATACCTTTTGAGACTGAGGCAGCTCAGCTTCTTGTGTCCTTTGTCTCTGCAGCTTCTGCTTGTGTTTCCCGTGGTCTCTTGGGCCTCAGGCCTCACACCCGCATCTGCCCTTCTGGGGGAAGTGTTCCAAAGCTCAGCAGCTCCACCGATAAGTACTTGGAGGCACCCTACTCCTCCAGGAAGCCTCCTGCACACAGGCACTCATCTCTATGCCTTCTGATTTCTGATTGAGTTTGACCAGTGGAAAACCTGTTCAGGAGATCAGAGGTAGAGAGGACAGTGAGGTCATGGTTTTTATACCCCTGAATTTCTCTCTATAAGGTTGCCTTAGGTTGGCTGTGTTGCTCAACTGAAGGTAACTGCTTTGTTCAAGGAGGCCTCCTGGGGTTGGGACCCTGATTGATACAAGAATCAGAACTTATGTCGATTGTTCTGATAAGAAAATGACCAATTGCTCCACAGTAGTAGAAGAAGGGAAGAAAAATGGATACAGATAAATGGGTTTGGTAGATTTGATAGTAGGAAGGTAAGGGTGGTCACAGTGATTACTTGTATTTTCTTAGTGAGATGATCTACAAAGAGTGAGAGCGAGAGAAACGAGGAAGGTGTGAGTATAGACAAAAATGTATGAAATGCTCATTGCATAGGGTTGGAAATAGAGTCTACCATAAAATAATTTAAGGTATTAATTTTAAGTGAAAATAATTAGCAACGTTTAGCTCTTCAAGTACAGGCATGAGGAAGGCAAAAGTTATTTAAGGAATATTTTTTGTTTTAAAGGCCAAGTAACCCAGAGGAAGAGGAGTGAATACCTTGAGAGTGCTTGTGGTATAGAAATTATAACTGGCTATGGAATCTAGGCCAGACAATGAAGTGACAACAGGAGGGAGTTGATGGATAGTGGGAAAGTTAAGGGTGGGGTCATTGGAGTGGAAGTCTTCAAGAGGTTGAAGAATAATAGGCCATGGGTGTGGTTAGACAATAAGCTGGATGAATAGAGAGGAGTCCCTGGATGTTGTAAATGGTTAACATGCTCAGCTGCTAACCAGAAGGTTGCAGGTTTTAGTCCATCCAGAGATGCCTCAAAAGAAAGGCCTGCTGATTTACTTCTGAAAAATCAGCCACAGAAAACCCTACGGAGCTCTAACATACATGGAGTCACCATGAGTCATATTCCACTCAAAGGCAACTGGTTTGTTAGTTTGTTTTGGTATTTTCTGTCAAAATGCTCTGTCCAGTTGTGATCATGGAAGAGAGAGATGGAAGTATGGAGGAAAGGTTTTAGAAAATAGGATTAAGAGTTCAGAATGTGGGATGCTTCATCAAGATGGATTTTGAATACATGGAAAATGATTGTAGGAGTTAGAAAAGAGCAAAATTGCCATCCAATAGCTAAATATTTAAAGAGTAAAGGCTTAACTTCCCTCTTAGTAAATCTTTTGACTCAGATTTCATTGAATGGCAGTGACTGTGAAGACATAGCCTGGTATAGCAGAGGGCATGAGCCTTACAGGAGCAGGAGTTATTGCTTGAGGCATAGGGAGAAATGATCTGGGAATAGTATTGAAGGGCAGAAGGGCACTAAATGTGCCTTCTGTTCTTTTAGGTGGTGGAGGTGATATCAAAAACAGCCTCCGAGAGAAAGGGTTAGAGGTCAAGCAATAGCTTCAGGGTATAATCCAGTAAAGCCAGGAGATGATGGGAGCATTCCAAAAATCAGGTAAAGTTGTTGAGTATTATACTGATCTCTGAGTAGGACATCCAGAGAACACGGTGGCAGTGTTTAGGAGGACTGGAAGAACAGGAAACTGGTCGGACTAGTGGGTGCACAAACCAGTATGAGAAAAACCCAGATCAACAGGGATAGGAAGAAAGATGGAATTAGTCCTGGTTGTTTCTGATATGAGTGTGGGCAAACAGATGCATTGCTGTTGTGTCCAAAACTTCTGTAGGTATGATGGACCACATGAGATGACTGTGGTTCTCTTGCGGACCGAGAGGGGGTGATTGCTTTCCTGATGGACTGGCATGACAGCTTGCTGAGCTTTTTCACTCTGCAATGGTTTCTTGAAGACACGATCTTCCAGAGGCTTTGCCATGATCAAATTGTAAGGGCTCCCAAATAGTAAGTAGTAGAGCCAATTGCACTCTTGTTTATTCACAGCACAGTCAGCCATACTAAGCTCCACCTGCCCCCAATGAAATATGTTAATGCACGGATTCTCCTTGCACATAGTTAATATACAGATTGCTGATCAGGGTCTGTTTGCTGAGCCCTACAGGATTTGACACGCTACTCTCGCTTCATTCTCATCTTGTTCAAGAACTCCCTTACTCACTACACTTCCATCACACTGATCACTGCTATCCTCTTCCTGGAACATTTCAATGTCATACTTATCTCAGGGTTTTTTACTTGTTGTATCCTTAGCCTAGAATGCTTTCCTTTCAGATTTTCAAATGACTTGAATCCTTTCTAACTTTTGGTTTCAATCTCATCTCTTACCTTTTAAAAAAGACTTTCTAACATATTAAACAATTTGTCTCACCTCATCTTACTAACTACTATGCAGAACCTGCTCTCTATTCCATTACCTTGTTTTATAGCACTTAACACCATCTGAAAGGAGCCCTAATGGCCAATGGTTAATTGCTTGGCTGCTAACCGAAAGGTCAGCAGTTCAAACCCACCAGCTGCTCCGTGGGAGAAAGATGTGACAGTCCGCTTCTGTAGAAATTACAGCCTTGGAAACCCTATGAGGCAGTTCTACTCTGTCCTATAGTGTTGCTATGAGCTGGAATCAGCTCGTCAGCAACGGATTAAAACCATCTGGATTTATGTGTTCTATTTGTTTAAGCATTTACTATCTCTTTCCTCCTGTATATCATGAACTTCCTGGTGCAAGGATTTCTCTTTTATACAGAGGAAGCCTGGCACATTGTAGGTGCTCCATAAGATTTTGTTGGATGACTGTGCAAACACTTGCTAAATACTAGTTTTTTCCTCTATAATCTACAGTGAACTACTACATTTTTCTTATAATTAAATATAAGAGTAATTGTAATCTTCTTGGTTGACAGGACAAAATGTGGGGATATAAATAAAAGCCCCTACTCCAGTTCTTAGGCAAATAGTCATGACTTTTTTTTCATTCATTTCATCAATAGATTGTACTGAAAAGCACACCAGACATTGGTGGAATGGAATAATTAAAACATGGGTGTTAAAACATGATGAAATTATATATTACTCATCTATTTTGCATTCTATATATTACATAGCATATATCACATATTATATGTTATTTATTATATGTAATAAAAGTTATACAGTACACTGTATATTCTATATTATATACCACATTTCTATTGCATAGTCATAGTGAAATTATTATAGTTAAATATTTCTTGTGAAGCACACATATTCCCTTAGCAATGTGAATATCTCCCTGTTAGTATTTCCAACTATATTAATTCAAATTTGAAGGAATTATGTAAATTGACTGTCATCCTAAATTTGATAATGTGAAATTTTTTATCTTCTAAGAGAAGCCATAATTCACATAGTAAGTTTCATGATTAACTGAAACTCTTACCTTTGTGTTTATTGTTTTCAGGAAGAACCCTATGTCCTGTTTAAGAAGTCTGACAAGCCTCTCTATGGGAATGACCGATTTGAGGGCTATTGCATTGACCTTCTCAGAGAGCTGTCTACAATACTTGGCTTTACATATGAAATTAGACTTGTGGAGGATGGGAAATATGGAGCCCAGGATGATACCAATGGACAATGGAATGGAATGGTTCGTGAACTAATTGATCATGTAAGTCCCTTTCTCATTATTCATTACCATAGGAAGATTGCTAAAAGATTAATTGATGGATTTGATTGATTGATGGTTGGAGATTAGTAATGACAGACAGCAGAAATATTATTTAATATTATTATTCTTCTCAATGGTTTTATTCAAGGTAGATATTATTTTTCCTATTAAATATACAGAATCTAAGAGGTATGTATATTTCTATTAAAAGCAAATGCTTTTCTTAAGTTGACTAGTATCTAGTGATTTAATAACTTGAATATTAACTATTTGGTCTTAATTTCTTAATTGGTATGTAGTGTCCCAACAATTAATTTTTTCTTCAACTTTGTAATGCTAACTTCCTAATCAATAGAAAGAATAGGTGATGCAAACTATAAATTTCATGATAAAAATTTCTAGGACAGGACATTTCTTGTCTTTACAGGAGGGATTAGACACCTATGTCTATATCCACAAAGTGTACAATCAGATATTGCATACAAAAAAAACCCAAAAATATTAAGCATATTGAAGCCGGCATATACCCTTTTTTTTTTTAATTGAATAAGCTGGGCATTTCTTCTTGCCCCCCAAAGCATAATTTCATAATTTCTCAGTGGTCGTGTTAATCAATTTATCTTTTTGAAATAAAACTCGGATCTTTTTCGACATCATTACATCATATTTGACTTTGTATTTTGTCACATTTAAGTTTATTTTGACATTTTCATAATATTAAAACATATTATTCTGCCAAGAGAAAAATTCTACAAAATAATAAAATTATTTTACATTGAAAATTATCGTGAATTTTCAACTGTAATCTAAATAAAAATTCTAACAGTATTTTGACAATACTTTATTAATTTATTATTGTTAATTACAAAGAATAGGAGATTCCTCTCTCTCACACCAAATATGTATATTCAAGGAGATCTATTTATCCTCTCTTATGATTTGGTTAGAAACAGAACAACAACACAACGAAACTATCCTTAACATATTTCTTTTATTGATTTGGAATTTACTAAATAAAATCCTAAAATTCTAGTGGTTCTCACTTAAGCATAATTGGATCCAGGGTCTTCAAATATGCCATTAGTGTCTGACCTATCTTTTACTGACTTATCTTTTGGTTTTGCTCTCTTCTTGTAAGTATCATTCTTAAGCACTTTCTCTCCACATGGTGACAAAGATGGTTCATGGTGGCTGTAGGCCAGTGGTTCACATCTGGGGATGACTTCACCCTCCAGGGGACATCTGGCAATGTCGGAAGACATTTTTGATTCTCACGTCTCTTGGGGGCTGGAGGAGTTGCTGCTGATATCAAGGGGTAGAAACTCAGAATCCTACTAAACATCCTACAGTGCACAGAATAGCCTTTCACAAGAAAGTGTTATACAGGTCAAATGTCAGTAGTGCTGAGTTGAACAACCCTGGTCTAAGCTTGCTTGGCCCTTAGAGTCCTCATTTTGAAAGAGAAAAACCAAAAAAATGAAACCCATTGCTGTTGAGTCAATTCCAACTGATAGTGACCCTATAGGACACAGTAGAACTGCCCCATAGGGTTTCCAAGGAGTGGCTGGTGGATTCAAACTGCTGACCTTTTTGTTAGCAGCTGAGCTGTTAACCACTACGCCATGGTTCCCTTTTCCCAAAGTTTTAGCAAAATCCATGGGTGGAGATTTGTTTGACCAGTTTGGACCATGTGCCTATCAGTGAATTTATCTGTAAGGTTTGGAGGGAGGGAGGGGTAGTTGGATTGGTAGGGCCTGGGTCCTGTGTCCACTCCTGGAGCTATGGGATAGGGTCAGCCCCATCGGAATCATGCTTCTTATAATTTTTATATGGACATAGATTCAGAAGCAACTAATATTTATTTCATACCAGTTATATACCAAACTAGAAAGCTTATTGGCATGAGGGCAAACACTTAAGCTGCAATGAACTAGCTAGCACATATTATAGGACTACTTAGACAAGATAATGGCAGATAAATTACTTTCAAGTCTCTGGTTCTAGGTTCTTTACATGTATTTGACAGGTGAAATTTAGTTAACTGAACATTATCAACAGCCTAGAAAGGGACAAAAAGGGAAAATCAAGCCAGAAAAGGACAAATATGGGACATATTATAAAAACAGGTAGAAGGAGGTTAATCCTCAACAGGCTATATTTATGCAAGCATTGCAAGATTTTTTAATTGTAATAATAACAGGTTTTACCACATTCTTCTTCATCTCTACCATTTGAAAGGACCCTCCAATGTGCAGGGTTTGGTATGATCTTTCAGTCATTATGATTTAACCAGAGATGGTTCTTGGTGTTATAATATGAAGATACAACTTCAGAAGGATATTAGGAGAAAGTGGTTCACTGAGGAATTTTTAGTCCTTGCAAAAAGATACACCTTTCCCCTGTGCACACGCACATGCGCGTGCACACACACACACACACACACACACAAAGCAGGGCTTCACAGCATGGTATAATAATAAGTCATCAGTAAGGCAGATGTGGATTCAAATCTTATTTCTTCTATTATTTGCTTGTGTGCCTTGGGCACATTGATTTAATCTGTTTGCATCTTTTCTCTAGCTTAAATAGAAATACTAATTAATATATTTGGAACAATATAGGTAAATTTCTAATACAGTGCCTGGCATACAGTAGGCAATCAATAGAGACATTACTAAGTTCAAATGTTGTTTCTTCTTACTTTTCTATCTTTCTACTATAGAGTTTATGAATGTTCTTGTTAAGGACTAAAAAGTTAAACATTTAGACAGTATTACAATGAGAAAGATGTAGGGAGTATAATTACTCATCATGGCATTGATATTACTTTTGAACTGAATTACAATCACTATAATCAGTCTTAATAGTAAAATTTATTAATTGAAACCTTTGATGTTACAAATATCTCAGTGCTTTCACACTTAAATGACCTATGTCTTGTGAATGGCAGTTTTATTTTAAATTGAATTAAACATAGGGAAAATTTAATACAGAAACGTATTCACTGTTGGGTTAGCAATAGGAAAGAAAAAGATAAAACTATGTTCAGGGAATCAGCAAAACAGGGACACTCAATTTAAAAAAAAAAAATATTTAAAACAAAATCAAAGTATTACTACTAGGAAAAAGTCAACACATTTTTGGACCTCCTTATACTTATTTTATGGTTTATCTTGTTGAGTTGGATTTAAACTGCATATAAGATCGGGAGCAAGAAGATATATTTTTCTTGCTTAAATCCTTGAAAATCTTAATACAACACTGATCAGATCCATTTTTTAAAAAAGAAAAATTGTCTGGAAATGTATTATTGGCTACTTTTCAAGAAATGATAATGCTAAATATCTGTTACAGAGGAAGCAAAGGAGCAAACCATCTATGGAGTCCATCATTTGAGTTTTTAAGATTATTGGTGGCTTGGAGAATTCTATTTGAAGTTTGTTAAGTAGCTCTAAAAAGTTGATAATTTTTGTGAGTCATCAGACTGATTAGAATCTAAATAGGGACACAATTTATCTATCAGTTCACTACGTGGTCCTCCATATTGTGGTCTATACTTGGTAACATCCATCTGCTTTAAAGATACTGAAAATAACTGGGAAACATAAATAACAGTAATGCAGAAAATGTTCAGCTTTCAAGAATATTTACTGAAAGGATGGCACAAACGTTACACAACAAATGTTAAACTCAAGCACCATGGTCATCAGAGAATATGCTACATATTTTCCAAATGCTTTCATTCTTATGTTATCTTCCAATGGTCCCAGTGAAAGTGTCTATTCAAGGACCAAGTAAAGAAATAAACAGTGCAATATTTTCCTCTTGAAATTAAAGCATCATAATTTTGTATATTATGAAATATGCTGTCAAGTTTTTCATTTTTAAAATCAAGCTTAGCAATTGAGCCAATATAGTAGACATGAGTACACAGAAACTTGCTCATGTAACCATTGTATTAAGTTAAGCATAAATTTTACTTGTAGCTTTGGGCTGTGTATTCCTTATACTACTAACTCATATATGGGCTCATGAGACAACTGTTGTGAGCATGTTATTCATAAAGCCAACTAGAGTTATTCATTAGCATGAAGGAAAACACCCAAGCTGTAATAAACTAGAACATATTATTATGGGATTACTTAAAGGAGACAAGGAAAGTTAAATTACTTTCAAGTCTCTGGTGACTTGTGCTTGGAATTGGAAAACCTCAGGAAGATTTATGCTTGTTAACATCCATACATAACTTAATAAAGCAATATACAAAGTCTCTGTATGTGCATGTTAAAAGTAGATCTCAGATCTGTTCCTACCTCTCCCAATTCATAGCCCTGTAGTTTAAGCCCTTGCCACCTCATTATATATTTAGTCTGCACTTCCTGCCTCCTAGATCTTCTCTAGGAATTCACCTATATACTATAGTCAGATTTATATCTACACCAATGTCTTCTCAAAGCTTTCCCATTTCAAGGCTTCACAGAGGTACTGAAAAATTACAGTATTAAATTTAAAGGACTGATATCAATCTTGCATTTTTTTCCTCACTGTCTCCTGAACACCTAGTGGTTATGCAGTTCTTCAGCTGTGCTCTCACCTTTTTTTTTTTTAATTATATAAACATGGGGAAACAATACAAAAATATGTATATGTGTGTATATATATGCTTATATATGTACAGAAAGAGAGGATATGGATTAAATGTTAATATCTGAAAGTGGAACAGAATCATAGCCTTGTTTAATTTACTCTAATGCATCAGTGGGTCAGGACTGATGGGAGAGAGCTGGAGAGAAAATAAAAGAAAACCAAAAAACCCAAACCTGTTGCCGTCGAGTTGCTTTCAACTCATAGCGACCACATAGGACAGAGCAGAACTGCCCCATAGGGTTTCCAAGGAGCTGTTGGTGGAATCGAACAACAATTTAAATGTTGTAGGACACTGTTGCCGATTCCTCTATCCCTTATGTCTCACTGTGTGAAAAGCTTTTGGCACTTATGGA